TTTAACAAAAAGGGGGAGAAGTGTTCGAGTAAGGGGGAGTAATTTCAAGTAAGGGGTAGTAATTTCAAAACTTGATTTCAAAATTTATTTTCAATTAGAAAATCTTAAAATTCCCAAAATGTTTTGTTATATCAAAAAGGTGGAGATTGTTGAAAACATTTTGATGTTTCGATATAACAAATTAATTTAAATGAATTTTAAGTTTTTACAAAAGATTTTCTAAGTATATTCGATATAATTATTCGAATATCAAAATATTACTCCAAGTCTTTCAAAGTTCATTTTAATCCTTACTAAAGTGTAAAATTGTGTTTTATACTTAAACTATTTTTGAAACAATCTTCAATAAGTATTTCGAGCCAAAAATAAGTCAAAACAATACAGTTTATTAAGAGGGTACCGATTCCCCCCAGGAGGGAACCGATTCCCCCTTAATGATTTTGGCTCCGAAAAATAACAGATTACTCGAAGGGAACTGATTCCCCCCAAGGGGGTACCGATTCCCCCCTGTATAACGGTCGAAATATTTGAATTTTACACTCTAGGAACCGATTCCCTATGAGGGGGTACCGATTCCCCCCACGCTCCAAGCTAGTTTATTAAGTGTTTTCACACAACAAAGGCTCTATTAACTCCACTAATGATCCCCAACGTTAGGAATCAATTAATGGAGTATTTAAACAAGCTTAGAAGCCATTAATCAACAACAAAAAACAACAATCAACAAGAATCAAGAGAGAATCAAAGAGAAAGCATTAAGCCCCAAGTTTGAGCATTTTCAAGCCTATTTCATTCAATATTCATTTTGCTTTCAAGAACACTTATTGTGCTTAATTGTATTATTCTTGAGTATTTTTTCTTTGTTCTAGAATTGTGCAGACATCTTTCCTTGTGAGGATTTTCTTATAAGTTTGCAAAATTTGTATTGTTCTCTTTGGGAGAGAGTGTTCTCAAGAATTTGGGGTAAAATTCTTGAGGAATTTGTAAGGTTACTATTTTTCCTCAAAAGAAAGACAAATTAGTGAATTTATTTTTCCTCAAAAGAAAGACAAATTAGTGAATTTGTGGAAAATCCTTAGTGTGGATAGCTAAGGTAGTGGACGTAGACTTTGATTGAGAAAGTCGAACCACTCTAAATCGCTGTGCAAATATTTTCAATTTTGTGCAAAAGCTTCCACCAAACTTTTTATTGCCAATTCACCACCTCTTGGCCTATTCTATTGATCGATTAACTCAACAAATACCCAAAAAATAACTAAGAGAACCAAGATCTTTCAAGGAGAACTATTTGTTCAAATCATTGATCACCCTTTGAACTTCATCTGCATTACTCCCTATTAGGATTATGTCATCAACATAAACTAACATATACACTATGCTAACAACAGACTTTCAAACAAATAGTGATGAATCCGATCATGCCAAAACAAATCCCACCGAAATCAAATACATTTGAAGACTATCAAAGAATAGTGTTGGCTTAACCATTGGGCTAAACACTTCATGAAAATTAACTTTAGCCTGCTGAAGAAACCCTTTAGCTATGAGGAGAGCCTTGTAACTAGACACAGTCCCATCTGGATTTCTTTTCCCTTTGAAAATCCACTTGCAATGAACAGCTTGTCGTCCTTTGGGAAGAGGAACTAATGACCAAGTTCCATTTTTCATCAAAGCCTCATATTCTTCTAGCACTGCTTTAGCCCAGTGAGGACTACGCGTGGCTTCCTTGATGGAGTAGGGTTCCTTCTCTAGATAGGTAACCTGAAGTGCCTTCGATTTTCGAATCCCATTTTTCCCTCTCGTAAGTATGGGATGAAAATTTTGAGAAGTAGACTGAAGATTACCTAAGGTAGATATACTGTCCTCTGAAGCAAGTACTGGCCTTGAAACAGGCTTAACAGTTGGAGGAACAGGCTCCTGCGCAGCAAACGACTGTTCCACATGATCTGAAAACACAAGCTGCATAAGGAATTGTACTAGGTGGTTCCACACATTCTGGAATTATAGAAGCTGCAGGAGACTTGGTACTAGATGAACTATCATCATTACAAGGAAGTACTCATTCATTATTCGATGTAACAACTATTTCCTTACTATGGCCAACATCAGGAGTAGAGCTATTAACAATACCAGGAACAATAACAGGCAGTACACCAGTGGTTACAACAGACTTACCTTGATTACACAAGCAATCAACACAACTTGCTTTCTTATAAGGAAACTCATCCTCGTCAAAAACAACATGCCGAGAGAGAATGACCTTTCCTGAACCATCCAAGCACCTATAACCTTTATAAGAAGAACTGTAACAAAAAAATACACATTTTTTAGAACGAACTTGCAGTTTGTGCTGATTAAATGTGCGTAAACAAGGAAAACAAGCACTGCCAAACACACGAATAAGAGAGTAATATGGAGATTGTCTATAAAGAACTTCAAATGGAGATCGACCACTCAGAACACTCGTAGGAATTCTATTTAACAGATATACTACTGACACAAATGCATAGCTCCAGAATTTTAATGGCAATTAGGCTTGAGACAACATAGCTAGACCCATTTCAACAACATGTCTGTGCTTCCTCTCAGCTTTACCATTTTGTTCAGAGGTGCCAGGACAAGATATACGATGTAAAACCCCATTCGTTCTAAACCAAGACCTCAAAACCCAATATTCTCCACCTCCATCAGACTGCAACATCTTGACTTTATGCCCAAATTGAACTTCAACCATTTTAAAAAAGTCAAGAAAATGTTGCATGACTTCAAATTTATATTTGAGTAAATAAAACAACTTGTATCGACTAAAAACATCAATGAACAAAACATAGTAAGCAAATCCATTTGAAGAAACAACCGGTGTAGGTCCCCAAACATCAGACACAATCAATTGAAAAGGCTCATTGTATTCAGTCAAAGACTTACAAAAAGGCAATTTGTGTGCTTTGCCTTGCATGCATGCAATACAAACATGAGTGAATTTAGATTTATTTAAAGAGATATTACAAGACTTCATAACCAAAAAACCACATCCAAAGAAGGATGATCGAGCCTCCTATGCCACAGCTCCAAAGCATCATGTGAAACAGAAACATTGTGAACTTGAAATCTTGCCTCTTGCTTGTCATATGATTCCTGACCATCATATGGAAACAGCTGGTATAACCCCTCGTCAAAAACTGATAGACCATTTGAGACATGATGCGTAGCACCTGTATCAGGATACCAAGCAGTTTCTAGAGGTACTGATGAACGAATTAAACTATGAGAAACATAATAATTGAACGCTGTATGAGTCGTAGAAGTAAAAGATGGTTGCCTAGAAGATACAAGAAACTGATAATATCCTGAGACATGAGGCACACCAGTCATCCCTGGTAAACCAGGACCAGCCGAGTAAAACACCGATCGGTATGATTAAGGAGCAAAAGGGGAATGAGCGAGAAAGGCTGAATCGTATGAGAGAACACTTGCCCTCCAGATTGTTGTTTGACTAGATTCATTAGAGCAAATTGTTTCTGGACATCACCAGGTTGCTCCCCACCTTCAGTTATACCAGTAAAATCATGATCAAAGCAGTAATAACACTTTTGCACCATATGGCTAAACTTACCATACAACTGGCATTGAGGTCTGTTTGAACTCCATCCTCAGCCTCGTCCACGATAACCGCCACCTTGTTGGTATATATTTTGACCTGAACGTAGTTGTGATGCATTACTCTCTTTAGCATCCACTTCAACATTATTTACCTCCTTAGGTAAACATGTCAAGTTAGCCACACCACCTTCATTCAAGAACACTTTCTGTCGAGCCTCACAATCCATTAACATATCGGTCAGAGTTTCTAAAGACATACTATCACAAGACGTAATAGCGATGATTGACTCAAACTCCATCGAGAGACCAGCAAGAACAACACTCACATGTTCTTTTTCAGTAACAATACTACCAGGCGCATTAAGTAAATCACATATAGATTTAATCTTTGCAAGATACTCACTAATAGTCAACCCAGATTTTCTTTGAGTATGCAAACTATACCTAAGGGATGAGATATTGGCAGCAGATCGAGCACCAAACAACCGAGAAACAACAAACCATATGGAGAAGGTTGTTGTAAGGCCAGTAAGATGAGGAAGAACCTCAGTCCCAATCGTGGTGAGCAACCAAGAGGCTAGCAATTTATCTTGCTGTCTATGAATCAAGAAAGTCGGATTAACCTCAGTCTGGCCAGACACACTTGCAACATACTCATCTGGTAAACCTTCATCACTGGAAAGAAAGCTTGTCAATCCATAGCCATCGACTATCAACGCAACTTGATGCTTCCAAAGCAGGTAGGTGCTCTCGGCAAGCTTGACAGTATCATGCTTAGGAATATGCTGAATCTCATTAATCCCTAATGAAACTGTCATCGAGCTCATGGGAGAGGTATTCGGAGACATAATTTTAGAACCTCGAATCAGATCTGCAGTCAGATCAACCATGATGAACAAGATGAAGCAAGAAACGGTTTAACAGCGGAAGAAACAACCACCAGGATTGGCGAATGATACCATGTCAAGATTCACTAACACAACTCAATGAATAGAGAAAGGATATAAGAGAGAATAGGCTCTCTAAACCTTGTTATTGAGAAATTACATTTGCTGTTACAACAAAGCTTACTTATAGCTTTATGAGTATACACAACCGACTCTAACAGAAGCATAACAGCTTCGTAACAGAAACTCGACATTCTATTCCTAACTAACTCATAACCAAACAGAAACCTATTACAATGTGGCACCGATCAGAAGGCAATAATTGCAGTGTTGGCCGTATAAACGCGACTCAAAGAAGGTAAATCAGGCAAGCTTATGAAGATCTTTACGATGAAGATCTCGTCAGGCGTCTTGAAAGATAGCTTTATGGGATTTTGAGGTTAATTAACAATGGAAATTACCATTTGGATTCTCCATTTTCATTGCTTAATATGCATGATTATTTTTGTGATATATAGAAAGCAATGTATCGTTGGATATTGGATCCAGCCGATCGAGATGCGGTGTCAGCTCATGTGGAGCTAAGGAAAACGAGCCATGAACATCTGGTGCTGGTCGAGATTTCGTGCGCCAGATCCTCTGAGGAGCTCTTGTCCATAAGAACAGCCTATCACGCTCGATACAAACGTTCCCTCGAGGAACAAGTTTACGATTATACCAAGGGAAACACCCGAAAGGCACATCCTCTTATCCCTATTATTTTCTCTCTTTTTCTTGATTTTCTAGTTTTTACAAAATAATATATATTCAAAAATAATTTTAATCTATTGATAATGTACACACACCCTATTATAAGGGTCGTTCGAACCAAAACCTCTTAGGAGAATAACCTTCTTTTTTACCAACGATATCACTTATCATCGACTTGATTTTCAAATTACATATTTGTGAATTTAGATATTTTAATTACAATCGCCAACATATTGGAACCGATACGAATATCAATCATTTTGTCGTTATTATAAGAATCCAACTGTTGGTAATACAAATTGGGTAAAACTTACTTGACATGAACCGATTCAATTCATGCGTTTTTTTAAAACAAAAACATTTCAATAAAATATTATTTATCAAAATTTATATTTTATCATTTTTAATTTCTATAAAATATTTAATGTGATTTAATAATTATTAATTATCTTTAAAGTACTATTAGATCTTTTATAATTTTATAGTTACTTTGAACCTATAAATATCCAACTCATTTCAGCTTTTGAATATCACAAGAAAAAAAAATGAATTCTCTCTTAAATTGTTCACTCTCAAAGGCTCCGTAGTTACTTCCAAGTCTTGTTTCTTAGAAAAAAGTAGCATCGTATAATGTTCGCTTTTAAATTTTGAGTGTATACATTTTTAAAGAGATTGAGTTAATTTCAGAAATATTAATCCATTATAGTGATTACACGTACGAAAATTTATATTTAAGATATTAATTTATTACGACGATTTTTATTTTTGATCTTAATTATTTATTTAATTTTTTCAGTTAGTGTTAATGTCTCATTTTATTACGATCTATTTTCTAACACCAGTGACCATATCATGTCCTAGGGACCTAATTCGGGCACCCTACGACTTCTTTCTGTGTCTACTGGAATAGCTCCGAGCTTCGACGGCCATAATTTCTGAAACTTTTACTTGCTATTTGCAGCTCTTGATAGCGTTGGTGAGTGCATTTAGATATGAGGGGGAAGAGATAAACAAAAGACTAGCAAAATCCGAAGCCAAAGAAGTCCATGAAACTATCAAATACATTAAACTCCACAACGACGATTTTATTAGGATCATTACTTCGAGGAGCAAAACGCAGCTCCAAGCCACTTTCAACTTTTATAGGGAAGGAGAAGGCACTTCCATTACTAAGGTACCCAATTCTTCCATTATCTTTCAAACAACAAGCTATGTATTCTTCTTACACTTCTCCAGATGCCAAATAAATCTAAAGACGTCCTTTCAACACTGCGTATCACGATTCGATGCCTCAAGGACCCAATAAAGTACTTCGAAAAGGTTAGAAGCACTATTATCTTAATACTGTCATGGAGTTAAAGTTTCGACTAGTTGATCTGTTGTGGTTTATACACTTTCTTGGTTGAATGATCGTTTAAGGCCGCGCTAATAAGTTAGTCAAAACGCTAGTCTCGTGACAATATCATTAACGTCATACGCATATATGAATTCAAATTAGGCGTTGTGTCGCATAGGTTTTGCGGAATTCGATCCAAAGGTTAGGAACGGACGAGGATGCTCTAACGAGAGTGATCGTTACGAGCGCTGAAAAGGACCTCAAAGAAATCAAAGAGCTTTATTGTAAGAGAAACAGTGTGCGTCTTGACGATGCTGTTGACAAGGACACCAAAGGGGATTACAAGGACATGCTTCTTACTATGTTGGGGAATGAAGTTTGAATAATTTTTTATCAGCCCATGGGCAAGTGTAGTGGTGAGTGTTCGATAGAGTTGAATCGAGTCAAGTCCAAAAAATTCGAGTGATGAGTTCTACTTTATAATCAAAGTTTGACTTGAAATTTTTTCAAGTCTAGTCTAGTTTATAAAATTTGAGTTTAGTCGACTCGAGTCAAATTTTTTATTTTCTATTTAAATTTAATTGTAAATATTTACAATTCCAATTTAAATGATATTTTATAACCATATACAATATATATATATATATATATATATATATTATATTGTATTTTTTTCATATGTGATTTACATATATCATACAAAGTCAAGAGATTCGACTCAAAATTTGACTCAAACTTGAAAAGCAATCGATTAATTAATAAAAATTTCAAGTTATTCGAGTTTTATTTTACATCTCGATTTGAATTTGAAATTTTTTCGAGTCGAATTTAGTTTTTGAAATTACAACTCGAAGTCAATTCAAGTCGATTAAAAAAAATCGATTTTTTGAATCGAGTTTTGCTCACACCTAAACAAGTGTTACTGATGTTATTATTTGATTTGAGCCACTATTATCTTCGCATCTATTTAAGGTTCTATTTGATGCATTTATATTTACTGATCGACGTCTAGTTTAGAGTGGACAATTATCTATCATGCTACTTAAATTTTATTTGGTTATTTATTTATTTTATTGATTAAATTTATCCTTAAATTTTTTTATATCTACTCATACAAAAATTTTATATCGTAGTATATATATTTATTGTCCTTCCAAATTATTAACTATACACACATCATACAGACATAATTGTTCGAACTCATGACTTTAAGAGAGAATATTATTCTATGTTTAAATTCACTGTTCATTAATCAATTTTAAATTCTGATTTTAAAAATATCATAATTCCATAGAAAAATAGTTTTTATTACTCAACAAAAATAAGATTATACTGAGAAATAACTCGGGACGAGTGCCCATTTAAAAACCTTCCCAACACTAAATGGTGAAAAAGAGTACAACACGAGAAAATGTTCATACCAAAAAACAACTCAAAAGCAAAAAAAAAAATACACATGGAGTCCACAAACAACTGTAGCTCGACGTGTAACTAAGGGAAAATAAACAGAAAACTACCACGATGCCTTAAAACAGCCATCTCTTCCCATTCCAAGCTTAGCAAGATAAATGACCATTGAGATGTTGCTTCTTGGAACATGCTTAAATTTTATATGATGAAACCAAGACAATTTTGATCAAAATTGATGAAGAAATTACTCAAACTTGGAACATGCTTAAATTTTATATGATGAAACCAAGACAATTTTGATCAAAATTGATGAAGAAATTACTCAAACTTCACGGCCTTAACTGAGGATTTTGAACCCAATTTAAGACCACCAGAGAGATTGACTCTATCACCAAACAAAACTTATCGACTAAACCAGCTTTGATAATCAAATCCTATGCTTTGGAAATCGCCATAAGCTCCACATAGTTAACGCTTTGAGGAGGGGATGGGACTGAGAACATATCAGAAATAACGCCTGCAGCATTTTGAAGAACACCACCGCACCCCGCTGAATCCGAGCAAGCTACACGACAACAACAAATCACAAGGAATTTATTTGAGAAATTTGTGAGGAATAATAACTTCTAGAAAGAAGAACCAAACAGTAGATGGTTATCCCACCAAGCTGATTCCTCTAACTGAGATTTCATAGAAGAAGCTCTAAATGAAAAGAGAGCCCGAAGCTAAATTATATCATTCTTCTACTTTTTTTTAGTCCGAGTGATTTGGAAATTGTAAGAAAATCAAGATAGCAAATAAATTTTGTTTTGGGATTTACCATGTCATATTAACGGATTTGCTTAAATCTTAAAGTGAAAAAATATGTTTAACAAAAATTGTCATTGAAGTAACATTGCTACTAATTTTGTTTTAGAATGTTGATTTTGTCTGATAACAAAATAAAAAATAAACAAGAATTATTTTTGTTTATTGGAATCTTTGATTTCGCATTTGAAATCAATTGAGATGTTAAGTGTTTTTCAATTCTCACGAAACGGATTGAGTCGTCGCTTAACTATGTGCTAAATAAAAGTTTAGCCAAGCATGATAGAGATCATACTTGGCATGTGGAAAGAAAGAAAATGAAAAAGAAAAATAATTTTATTAAATTGAAAACCCTAAAATAAAATCAAAACTAAAATCAGTGTTGAATTGAATATCTAAACTCTCTCCTTAAGCTTCACCCCTAGAGGGTATTTATAGCTTTGAGATCACCTAATGAAAATAAAATACTAAGAACATTAAAACACTTAATTCCTAATTAATAGCAAACTAAAAGTCCAAATAATAAATAATTAAAATCCTAAGCAAACTAGAATCTTAATAAATTAAATAATAAAATATCAAATGTCTGAAATTAATTACAACTTTAATTACTAAAAAATTGTAGTTCTCCCAGAATTTCTTTCTGCTTTGATCTTGCAGAATGGATTATTTGATTAAAGTTGGTGTCTAACTTGGTCTTTTAATTACAATTGGCGCAAACTACTCCCAGAAAATAGGATAAATCTGCTTTAATTCACCCTTTAATTGTTGTTTTCTAGAAAATAGAGTCTTGCACAAAATCTAACATAAATAACCCAAATTAGTAATATTAAAGAGATAACACAAATTAATTGATAGCAAAATATTAACTAAATAAAACACTCATCAAATTTTCTCTCATTTATTTAATGATTGTCCTCAAGCATGCCTTAATCAATCATTAAAATCTCAAATTACCAATCTTTCATCTCAAAATATACCAAAGAATATCAAACAAGTCAATGATCACAACGAGTATCAGAAACAGTGTGACAATTAAGCAAATATACACAACTAGTAGTAGTTTAAGTAAAAGCCAAGATATCTCAACAATCCATCAATTTCAATGTAACAAGAGGATTTACTTATTATCGCTCAAAGTGTTTAGGGTAAAAGAAATCGCTCAAAGCCAAGATTAATAAAGAAAATACCATAAGCTTGTTAGAAAATTAAGTCTCCATCACTAGAATGATCAAGATACATTTAATCAAAGGTTCTTTAATCAGGTTGTAATGAGGCTTAGGTTAGGGTAGGGATAAGGCCAAAAAATTGGGGTTAAACGTCAAGACAAGAGATGCAAATATATAAGTTCAAGCCATGAATTCAACAAAGTAAATAAACTCGAAGAAGAGTAACCAAAAAATCAACTTTCTTCTTTCTTCAATTTTTTTTATTTTTCTTTGTTGTTTTTCTACTTTTTTTGTTCTGTTCGAACGCTTTATTAGAACCATAATTCTTTTTTAATGCTTCTTCTTTCTTTTCTTGATTTTTCGTTCGTGGAACAAATCTATGTTCTATCTCGACAAATGAAACGAAAGAGGATAAAAATAAAAATTGAAAGGCTTCGGGTTTTATAATGTGGTAAAAAAATAGAAAATAGTAAAGACGTAAAATTGGTTCACTAGTGGATATAAATGGGTAGAGAAGTGGGTTAATCCTAAGTTCTCTAATCATTTTAGAGCATCAAGTTCAACATATGGTCTCGATATGCATTTAATCATAAGTTCTAGAATGTCAAAATTAATTTGACACACCTAATCAAACAAATGATCAATAAAGAAAAGCATGCTCGTTTAGGCTTAAATATCACAAGAAAGTGTATTGTGTATCGAATCAAGAAACATATCAACCAATGGATTCATGGAACATCAAGCAAAAATTTTAATAAAAAATACTAATCATGTCATTTTTATTATCATGAACCCTAAATTCGATAAGAGTGTGTTCACAAACTCATAAGGTAACCAAAAGAACAAAGAAAGATTCAAGATTAATAAGAAGAGATTTCAAAAAATCAACCAAGGCAACTCAATTTCAAGCATGTAAATAAGCGAGTGATAATTTGATGCAGTGTTCTCTAAGTCCTCTACCTCCCTCACTTAAAGCATATTGTCCTAATATGTAAAATTAAAGCATATGAGAAGGAATAGAGATACTCCCCGTGTTTAGTGACGATCGCGGCCACGACCTCGATGAGAGGTACTCGGGTGAAGGTAGGATAAAATCTCGACAAGATTAGACTCGAGGGAGTCGAGACGATCATGGAACTCATTAATTTGATTTGTTTGTTTAACCACGGATCATCTGTTGGTGTCGATGGTGGTGTATGTCTTCGAAGAAAGACACACTCGCTAGGAGGTGTCGTAGTGTCGGAAGGTACAATGAAAGGTGCATCGAGTATGCCAATATAAGTGAATTGTTCAACATTAAAAGATAATGGGAAAAGTCTAGATGCGAGGTGAGTTATGTAAGGGTCGAGAATTAGTGGTTGATTAGAGCGTACAATGCGCTCGAATGCTCGTGCAAACCAAAATCCTAGATTAACTTTGATGCTGGTAAACATGTACCAAAGGAAGAACATTTTAACTTTTCTTAAGCAAGATGTAGTGTTGTTATGTCCCGAGTAGTTGTATGCAATAAATCGGTGAATGTAACGAAATATGGGGTCATATATGTTCCATCATTTCCTCATTTGTGCATCGAATATTTATCATGGTGAACTGGTCAATAAAGAGTCGATGTCAAAAATCAAATTTGAAATTTTTGATGCCAGATATCTTTAAATCGAATTTATTCATCGTTGTTGAATCGTAAGTACCTTTGGAATTCTTCTTCAGGTGGTAAGGTAAGATAATGTGACGATAATGATGAGGTCGGTGAGGGTTGATGCTCTTGTGAATGTGAAGGGCTGACTTCGTCATGTGGCTACGAAGAATGAATGGAATGGTTACATCGAGAGGGGATTGATGGAGGCGCATGAATTGAATTAGAATCACTTGGTTCATGATTTAATTTTGAAACAAAAAATGTTGCTTTTCTTTGACTTATTGTTTTCACCATCTTGAAATTTTGTAGCAAAGAATTAAGATGAAAAAAAATATGATGATGGAATACTAACCAATAACACACCG